TCTCACACGCTTCACGTTACACACCTGGCACAAGCCGACACCGATGTGAGCTTACGAGACATTACTTTATTGACGTATTAAAACTTACGACAAAATAGAATCGTCCAGTCGATGTCTAATTGAATCGCTTTCGTACACAACTCACGCAGCCTTTTAACGAACAGTCTTCTGCAGGCATTCAAGCAACGATGGGTCCCATGGATTCAACACTGACGTTTGGACATCTCACACGCTGGCATGGTCGATCTCAGCTTAACATTTCGTCGGCAGGTCTCCTTTCTCCTCAGGCACTCACGTAGACATTCGCACATTCAGACGCTCGTCCTCTCGCTCCAACAGGTCGACACAAACTAAACTTGACCAGAGTCAAGTCTGACTTATACCACGGGTTCCTTTCACGTGACAACACGTGGTGGTCCTTTACTTTTCCCGTGGCGACCTTGGGTCGCATCACCGTGGTCCCCGTGATAACTAGTGGTTAGTCACCTATCTCCAGATTCTCGTTTAATCCAAGTATCTGGACTATCTCGGTGTTTTCGGTCAGCTTTGGGCCTTCCCCCCAACCATCCTAAACTGGGTCGAAAATATCCCCCATTACATTCTCCCTTCCCCGTATAAAAAAAAAAGTTTACTTTTTTTTTTTCCTCATTATCGTTAATGGATAGGAGTATATTTTATGTAATGCTTGGGTATTTTCACTGGTATCATGGGTAAAAATTTATTCCACCCCTTTTGGGTAATTCATGTTTTTCCCTTTGGAACTTTTATCAGTTGTCATGCCCAGTGAGTATTATGTGGCGTAATGGAATCAACACCCCAGGCAATACTCTTTCAATTGCGGAAGACCATAAAGGCTCTACGCGTTTCCCACCTCATCCCACAGTCTGTCAAACGACAGAAAATCACCCCAGGCACTACTCTTCCAAGTGCGGAAATCCATAACGGCTATGGAACAATAATGTAAACCCGTAAAGTCCCACCCTTGCCACTATACTCACCGAACATCCACTGATGTTATTTCCATTGGATATTCATTTATTTCCCCTTATAGGTGATATGGATTTTATCTCCCCTACCTATAGTGATTTCCCAATAGTCTTTATTACATTTCTAATAATTATCTCCCTTTACGTTTTCAAAAATATTACAATGTATCACTTAAATTTCCTGTATACATTTCAATTGTTGAGTGATATGTATTCAAAACATTAAATAGCATATTTCATCGTCACAACTTTGCATTATCAATTTTGAAATATTGTTTACATTTTGTATTTAATAAATATTCATATCTAATTCTAAACTATTTCGTCACGTCACCCTATGTCTATGTCCAGTATTCGTCACAATGACATGATATATACAATTTATACAAAATATATATACATATATAAAAATCATATGTGTCGATCAACAATAACATTTCAGATAATCCAAACATATATACTATAATAAGACTTACAATCTTGACATTACATCAGGCAGGTGATTATGGATGCCTTTGATGTGCTGTATTTTAAATTTAAACTGTGCAATCAATAGAGCCCATCTGTACACTCTAGCGTTTTTTGTTGACTCCATGGTCATCAACTTAGTAAGACCTAAATTGTCAGTTAAGATAGTGAATTCTTTCCCTAACAAGTATTTTTGAAATTTCTTCAGACTCAGAACTAATGCTAATGCTTCTTTCTCAAATGTGCTGTACTTCTGCTGTGTAGATGTTAGTTTCTGTGACCAATATAAAACTGGAAAATAATCTTTGCATCTGTACAAGATTCATTTAGATCTGCAATAGTTTGATGATTGGCATCACATATTTTAAAATATTGTTTCCAAATGTTGACATGATTCATTTTACAACATAGATTTTACTCAATTCTGCAATTCATCAGTAATAAGTACTTTTGTACTAGATGTATGCTGCAAGGTGGTATTCACATTCACCAACAGTCGAACAAGTCATCTGATTAAAATTCATGGCAAATTAAAACTGGTTTCAACAATTCAAAGTTTCAGAATGAGGAAAGTGTTTGAAATAGACCTGATCGAAAAGTAATAATTTCAGAATCACTAATGCTAATAGTGTACCACATTTCAGAATTTGACAAATTTCTGTAGAGGTATATAATTTTGAGATGAAAAAACCTCTGCGAACTGGATAGATCATTCCTAAAAGTTGTAGATCATGAATTATGTTGAAAGTATAGAATAGTTGTAAATTCATTTCACCTGTTACAAATAGAAATTGGCATATAATGAACAATATGTGTTGCAGTAACCACACGTACTGGAACAAACGCTGTGAGCAGTTGTCTTGCTGTGCTCGAATTAGGTCTCTTGGGTGGTGATTACCTTTGGTTGCCCAACAACCTGTTCTTGCTCTTTTTGTTTCTTCTTCTGGTTCCAAAAACCTGTAAGACTTTTTATTACAAGTACATTGAATAAAACTGTTAATTTTACAGTCGTGTATTTCTTGACTTTGGTTTTGCTCATTGATGCTCAGAGTTTTCTTTTTAAAATACATTTTCCTCTGATTTTTCTTTACATGTTCTTGCATACTGGGTTTGGGAGTTGGATACCTGTCTTTCGTACTATTACCCTTGTTTCTTTCAGTCTTTTTATTGCTTTTTCTCCTCATTTGTTCTGCAGTCATACTTGTCATTACTGCCACTCTCTCATGTATACCTTTTACTTTCTCACTTTCTGTTATGTTCTGGACACTTCCAGTCTCTATGCTTTCATTCAAGTCATTCATACTATTATTTTCATTCCAACATCCATCTTTCATTTCTTCCACAGTGGATGTGGGGTTTGGAGTCACATCATTTACTCCTTTGCTCTCATTCCGTTGTTTTTCTCTCATTAATTTCACACTTGATGTGGGGATTGGAGTCACATCATTCACCCTATTCTCTTTGATGACTGGTATGTTTTCTGCCTCCCATTTAGTGATGTCTTCTTCTGATACCTTTTCTAGGTCTTCTCTGTTACCTATAATCAAATCTGCACTCGGTGATGGTAACATGGCAACATAAATATTCTTTGTTAAAAATGGTGTTGACACACAAATGTAACCTAGTCTGTATGTTTCTATTGTTCCACCAAAAGTTCTACATTTTATAAACTTCTGTGTCACTTCTTCTGGTCTCACTAATGCCTGGCGAATTCCTGATATCGTGGCGCCGCTATCTCTCAGGACTGATACGGTTCGTCCATGCACCATACCTTTGTGTAGTTTTAAACTACCTTGGTCATGTGCCGCTGTGCTGGCATCTTGGATTGGTACTTGGTGTCCGCATGGTAGGCTACCCTCAGCTTGAAATTCAGAACAGACAAAGCAGTTATCATTAATGTAACAAACTTCAACAGCATTACCCTCGTACGTATCAGAACCCGAGTCTTCATCAGACAACCCATATGCCACGTGTGCTTCTTTGATCTGTCGCTTAAAAGCACATTGATTACGTACATGGCCATAACATAAACAAGAAAAACATTTCAATACTCTATTGTAGTCACTGAGCTTGTTTTTTCTCTTGGCAATAAGCTCCTGAACCCTCATTGCGTATGCTGGGTTCTTATCGCAAATAGCGTCTGAACCATGTTGTTTGTTGCAATGACTACAGTTGATTGTGTTAACTTTCTTCCTGTTGTATCTCTTGTCTTTCAATGGGTATCTTCCCTGCTGAGGTTTCTGATATGCTGCAGCTCCTGACTCAATGACATCGTTCACTGTTGAACTAAAAATGTCTGGATGGGCATTATAATAACCTTCTCCAAGTTGCTTAATCTGTTCCAGATTTACAGGTGTTCTTTTTATTAAAGATGTAGCCATTTTTTCCGGAATCGATTCTAGAATTTTGCTCCTTATTAATAGGTCTACTAAAGATTGGTAGTCATTTCGAACTTTCGCTGCATCAACCCATTTTTGAAACGTGTTTTGCACTTCAGCTAGGTAATCTACAAACGTTTGATTACTCCTGGGCTTTAATCCAACGTATTGTTTTCTATAGCCCATTGCATTGAGTTTATAATGGTTCATGAGGTATTCCTTCATGTGATCGTAATCCATTTTTTCTAATTCTGGTATTGATTCCAACACTTTAAGTGGCTCAAATCCCAAATGTTTCTGAAAAATCATCGCATAGTCTTC